GTGGGTGGTCAGGATGGAGTTGTAAGGTTCCACCACTGCGGTGGAGACCTGGGGGGCCGGGTAGACGGCAAATTCCAGCTTCGACTTTTTACCATAATCAACAGAAAGTCTCTCCATCAGCAGGGAGGTAAAACCTGAGCCAGTGCCTCCACCAAAGGAATGGAAGATTAGAAATCCCTGCAGACCAGTGCACTGATCGGACTGTAACAGTAAGAATGTAAAAAAACAATTGACAAAACATTTAGTCGAGCAAAAAACAAGTTGAATATACTACAAACATGCTCCCACAGCACTCTCAGCTTTTCTCACCAGTTTACGAGACCTGTCCAGAACCAGATCAATAATCTCCTTGCCGATGCTGTAGTGTCCACGGGCGTAGTTGTTGGCAGCATCTTCTTTTCCCGTAATCAGCTGCTCAGGGTGGAACAGCTGGCGGTAGGTTCCTGTACGCACCTCATCTGGAGATAGACAAACGGTAGACAAACTGATTTATTGAATGAGATATCCAGTAGTTGAATCACTGTCAATAGATTGACATTAAAACGTTTCTACAATGTCAAAAGAAAACTTTATTCTAGTAACAGATGATCTGCATGATTGTCCATCTTCTGTAAAATGAAAATCATAATCACTGTATTCTATCCCTGTCCTTAGCTATATTAATAATAAAATGACATTAATACATGAAAAATTTCAAACAATGAAATATATCATCAGCTTTAAAGCAGGCACTGACCGATGACAGTAGGTTCCAGGTCGACATAGATGGCTCTGGGGACATGCTTTCCTGCCCCTGTTTCGCTGAAGAAGGTGTTGAACGAATTATCTCCTCCTCCAATGGTCTTGCCAGTGGGCTTCTGTCCATCTGGCTGGATCCCATGCTCCAGACAGTACAGCTCCCAACATGCATTGCCAATCTGAACTCCAGCTTGACCCACATGAATAGAGATACATTCACGCTGCACAGAGCAAACAACACTGTTCAATTACTAGACACATTTACTTTCCACATGTCTGCGTCACATGATTTTACTTAACTGCTTAAATCCAGTTATCACATTCTACTATACTCTCTGCCATGAGCTGATGCAGATACAAAAAAATATATATATTTCACACACACAATTATTGATCAAATACAGTCCATATATTCTTAATAAATACAGCATATGCACTTCCAGTAAGTTTCACATTGGAAGACAATAACTTACCATAGTTTATGTCTCTTCTCCAAAGTCCAGGTATCGGTAAGAACATGTAGTGCTGGAGACAGCTGTGTGCTACTCTGCATTATTATACCTGCAGCTTAAGGTGAACAGTGATTTGATCTGCGCTGTAATCAGAGAACCTACTGATGAGACCAGGATAAGCTCATCCGCCTGACAGACATACACACAATGCAAAAGGAGGTCACCACCCTATTCTTTGTGTGATTCTGTGAGTACTGGTGTGTATTGGCACATCATATTTCAGGAAGCAGAAGCACAACCCCAGATGAGGGGAAGGTAACCTGATGTAGTTTCACCCGGCAGTCTTTAATATATCACTTTATGATGTAGCTTTTGATAGAAACAAAAACACTCCTGTTGCTTTGAGGTTGCTATTTAGTACAACATTTATGATAAGCAAAAGAGTCTGAGAAAGAATCAAATTGTACCCGGGCCACATACATTCGCACCTGAAAGGTTGTTTAGGTGACATGTCCACATTTCTACTCAACATGAGTTTCAGTTAGCAGTAGCGTGACTGCCTTCAGTTGGCAGGTGTTATGCAATTTCTTTAAAACAAGTCAAACCACTTTCAAGTCCAAAGGGCATCCGTCTTATGGGAATGTTGATTCAGTATAATAAACTGTTTTGAGATACAACCCTGTGGCAATCTATGGCGTCTTTGTTCACACGCATCCTGTCGACTTCCTCTTTATTGTCACAAGATGGATGAGTTATTTTCTCCTCCCCCATAAAAAAAGTAATGACTGTCAGTCAAAAGTCTGTTGGTTGTGAACATAAATGTGGCAGCCAAGAGAGAGCTAAGAGACACCAAGAGTGATGCCACAGCGTCAAATGCTCCGCCATTTATTCAAGTCAAGGCTGTGAGACTGATCTGTAACAAATGGGAATACTGATGTTGACAATCACGTTCTCATAACACAGAGCTCAAAAAGCACTATGGTGTAAATGTAAATGTCAAATTAAAACGCTTTGGTTCCATATTGGTCAAACACATGAACCTGCAACGTGTTTTATTACCTTGTAGGGAAGACGAGGTTGATGGTAATTATTATATCATGTTTTTCCTATACTCTGCCACACAAGATACAGCAACTATATGAACACTTTTCTAACAAACCTTTTGGTCTGGTATGTGTTCTGTGAGCTGAAGTATTGTATCACAAGGGAAGTCTGAACCTTGTTGTTGTCTTCTTTCTTTGCCCTCATAGGTGTTCCCTGAGTCATAAAACCATGTCCCACTTCCATTGTTTGAGTTTAAGTCTCAAACAACGCCCCAAAATTAAGTCTTTTCACTAGAAAGTCATAATAATGCCAGTGCTGGCAAGAAATAAAGGGACCCAGAGTAGGCCAGAAAAAATTAGATGGAGAGATAATTTGCACATTTTTGAGGACATGACGAATTGATATGTTGTAAAAAGGGTTTAAATGTTTGCCATTTTATTGTAGGAGCCACATATATTACATTATCAACTAAGATTCTATACAATCCCAATGTACACAGAAAATGTGACAGAAATGGAAACACTGTAGTGGTGAAAAAAACAAAACCTCTACTCTGAGCTGTCACATACTTTTGTTATTCTTTTTACTCATTGAGTGACTCATTGTTAAGCAACTACGACCTCTAGCTTTCAAATGGGTACAGTGACAGCACGTCCAGTAAAATGGCAGTAAGAGGAGGGTTGATGGTATGGATCGGTTTGCAGGGTGTCCTTCCCACCCACCAGATAACTGACCTTGGGTGTGGCCCTTATAGCCTACACACACATACAAGAGCCAAGAGGTCTGAAGTGACAGAACCGGAGTGATGAAAGTACAGCAAGAAAAAGAAAAATGTGATTTTGGCAAACAAATGGATGCATGTACTGGTGTGATTGATTAATGCAAAGAGACACACACATATTTTTAATTTATTATTGACAGTGTGGAGACGACTTGAAATAGCATTTAGAAAACCATTGTGTAAGAAAACTCTGAGACATACTGCTGCATAGGAATTAAACTATCGGTGAGGCAATGTCATTAATCACTTGAATGAGTAATTAAGCAATTTGATGTTGGTGTTTGATCAGGTAGGAGCTTTCTCAGCGGAGCAGTGCGTCACTAAATTGTAAAATAATTCACATTTCTTTTTTTTCAAATGAGAATTATCATCTTAAAATGTTGGCCAATTTTCTAACCAAACAAAAACAACCATGAAACATAAATAAAAATGCCCATTTGCACTGTATATTACTCACTTCCCCAAGTTTGAAATGCTTAGACTGGCTTCATTTTAACAGTGGCACTCATGGCCTCAATATTTGAATGATCGCGATCACGAACACTCTCTTGCAATACATAAAGTGGCCTGCGCGCTCATAGTGTGCGTTCTCGTCAAAGAGACAGGTGGGAGTGGTTTGCAGTAGAATACAGCGTTGCAGCTCCTCGTCCACCTGGCATTACTCACTCACTCGCACCACATTGACGGCCGCCGTGAGAAGACACACATAATAAAGAAAGCCAGCTGCACGTTGCTTTTCTGTCAAAGGACATTCTACTAAGAAGCTACAATGGTATGTATATTTTCCGTATTAGTTTGAGGGAAACGTCTACTCCAAAGTTTAGTTTGCTTATCTTCTAAAACTGAGGAGAAAAGTCCTCAGCAGTTTTTCATGTTGCCACAGTGCGCCTATGAGTCTTCAGCATTTCAATGCGCTGGGGAAACGTGCCAGATTGAAGGTAAGATGTTGGAACTCGGAACTGGTCCCAGTGTGCCCTCTTGCAGCAGGTCAAAAATAGACTCAATGACTGTCAGTAAAGCTGAGCTGGCTGCTGGCCCGGATGAGCAGGTGCTGATGATCGGTCGACATTTCCAGCACATCAGGAGAGACAAACATATTAAACACAGATGCTATATATAGTGTGATTTCTTTTGTTTTTCATTTATTGACAGGTTAGGGGAAAGACCCTCTCCTTACAATATCACTTTATAATATTTATAATGTATTGTTCTGGGCTAGGTGTGTGATATTTTCACAAATGCGTCACTGAGGAATTGAGGTGTGTCTCATAATGGCTCCATCAACAAGTCAGCTCAGATTGAGAGGGTGTTTTTGCAGGGCAGGAGACAATCTTTTCCCTCCAAATTCCAAAAAAGTTTTAAGTTGTAACTGTGGGCTGGGCTTCTTCAACTTCAACAACAATTTGAAAGATGCCTCCACAGACACATTATTCATAGTATGTGACAGATGAAACGGAGATAACATTGCAGCCTCTGGGATGGAGACGTTACTGGTTGGATTGATTGTAAAAACTGTCTTTTTGACATGCACTATGTTTCTCTTATATCTCTGGCAGGAATTGATCTAACACGCACAGGTTCTGTTTGCACAGTGTAGTATAAACACGGCCTGTTAGCATTGTCCGTACTATACAAACTAAACGGTATCATTGTGTACTGAATACACTACCCGCCCTAGTCAAATATTCCTGATCCATGTAGTTCCTTTTTTAAATGTCAAATCTTTGAACTACATACATTATGCCTGGTATGAAGCTGTGGTTATTTTAACCTGATCAGTGACCCTAAATAACAACGTAAGCATTAAATAAGGGTTTACATTGAAATACATACTCTCACAAGTGCATTCACATGGCTGTGCCACTCATTGTGTGAGGTGTGTTTCTTTTATGATTGGCCTTATCCGTGCTTGTTGTACAAACGTTTATTTCAGAATGACTCATCAGAACACGCCATTACCTTTTGGAGTGTGAATGTGCTCAGCAAATGTCATGACAGCCTGCGGTCACTATTGCGTTCAATGGTGGTTCTAGTCTTGTGTTGCCTGACCTATAGCAGCCTAGGGCACAACGACCACATTTTGTCCAGTCAGGAAGCAGCAGAGACCTGAGGGGGTGACGGATGTAGAATATTTAGTCAATGAGGGCTTATCAAGGCTGGTCCATTTCCATTGAGTAAGACTGCGGCATCACCTCAGGAAAGCCTGATGGGTTATCTATTTTTTTTTATCAGAATCAATAGTGTTGTTCATGAATATCCACAGAAAGTTGCTTGGCATTAGCTTATCGTTTACAGATTTGATCCATGGCAAGAGAGGAAAAGGAACACATCTGAGCGTGAACAGATTCCCAGTTTTTGACTTTGATGTGGTGTCCATGAAAATTAAAACGCGTCACAACACTCTTCTCCAGCATGTCATGCTTTAATCACAGCTTTTAACTCTTATACAAAGGGACATTTTGGCCTTGGAGTGGCAACAGAAGAAAGGTCATATCACTACAGCAGAAGATATCCACAACAAATAGATTCATGCCAATTCATCTGTTGCATCCAAAGTTGACTCTGATCTCTGGATGGCAGATGTCTTTCTGATGATAGTCCTACACAAACGGTTAGGCTCTCCAAAACCATCTTTAACAAGACATCCATTCCAAATATATTGAAAATCCGGCCTGTAGATGTCAGAACATCAGCATTCAAACCACATGTAAACATACAAAATGGAAAGAAGCACAGAGACTGAGTTGATTTGTCGTCATTTGCTCTTGAGGCATGGTGTCATACGTATCGTAATAAACTAAATAAATGGCAGTTTGGGTCTGGACAAGATTCCATTAAATCATTATCGGTCCTCACTGTGTTTATGGTGCGTTATGTCTATTTTTCTGTTCGAGGCAGAACGTGCGGTGGCGATGGGGCTTTAAGGGATCTCTGTTCTCGTGTCTGCTGAGCTGAGAAAGCTTTTACCAAATTGATTGCTCTCTTCTTCTATCCTGTTGACTTTTCGTCTTTCTCTCGTGCTCTCTATATCTATATGTAGTGTATTTATTTGTTTCATTAGTTTTAGTCTTCAGCAAAACTGGAATCGCAAGTTCATGTAGAGTCAAGACATGCCTTTTGTTTATGTCGTCTACAGACACACCCTGACAGGAGAAGCTTGAGACTACTTTGTCTTCAATTATTTACTGTTACTTATGTGTGCTGATGAAAAATACTGTCCCAGCATTCATTTTGACAGAAAACACATGTAGCCTTTACATTTATTAATTTTAAACTTTAAAATGAAAGAATTTGTTTCCACATTGCAGCAAACTTTGCGCAGATTAGGTGTAAAATTCAACCTGGCAGTGACCAGTATTTTAGGGACTGCCAGTCTGTGTTTACCTCAACAGTCGGCCTTTGCTGCTTGGTGTCAGGTTAGTATGAGGAACCTAAAATAGCTGCTGCACAGAGCTCTGCTAACGCGGAAACCCTGGTCCAGTGTGGAGAGGGTCACCGTTGCTTTGGAAAGCTTCTGGTGAGGAAGTAAAATCCTTGTTGATCAACATGGATTTAGTGAGATTTCTGAGACTCTAAAATTAGCCCCCCAGCCCCCTCACCCACCAGCACCTTCCCTTGTCTGTGTGATCATTGAGAAGGGGAACGTCAGGGAAAGGATGAAAATGGCAGCTTGACTTGAAGCAAAGTGGGGACATAGAGTATGTCGACGGTTTTCACTGTTGCATGGAGTGGAATAAGGTTTTAGGAAGGTTTCACGATGCCTATTTGCATCTCTTTGAATGCACAGGTTTGATTGATTTTCTCTGGTTTATTCTGTTAATTTGAACATTTTTAATTTTAGCAGCGTTTTCCAGACCTCAGCATCTGTAACTTCGATCTGTGATCCATATCACCCACTAAGACTTTGGAGAATACAAAATATATGGTGCCTTTTTAGTTTAGATTAATTATTCATTCATACAGCTTTGTAGTATGAATGTTAACAGCAGTTGCTCTCTGGACTCGACCCCCATTTCAGCTTGTGAGCCTTGCTCACAGACGGTCACATGAAACCCAGTGACAGCTGCAGCAAATCTGTTTTGCTCGTTCTTTCCACTATAACTTTCCTTCCCCCATATATCTCTTTGCTTCCACCTAGTGGCTGACTTTCTAATTGACTCTTTTGGATTGCTGCAACTGTAGCTTAATTTGTAAAATTGTATTATGGTACTATTTGCCATTCAAAGCAGAATATAATGAACAATGTTTAAAGCTCTTTGCTCAATGGAAAAGGACAACACAGTTCCGAAGAGTATGCAATCTTTGCCCTTCCCTGCATTGCCACTTTATCTTCCTTCTGTATTTCCCCTCTCTCCTTTTCACTGCCTCCTTTTTTAATTTCTCCTCTTCTTCTCGTCCAGCGTGAATGCATCTCTGTGCACGTAGGCCAGGCTGGTGTCCAGATGGGGAACACCTGCTGGGAGCTCTACTGTCTGGAACACGGCATCCAGCCGGACGGCCAGATGCCCGACCGCAAGGCCATGGGAGGCCACGACGACTCCTTCACTACCTTCTTCAGTGAGACTGGGGCTCAGAAGTACGTCCCCAGGGCCATCTTTGTTGACCTGGAACCAACGGTCATTGGTCAGTATTGGTATGACGTTTATATGTTATATTTTTTAGATGGTGGTATTTCACTTTGTGGCACAGATAAGTGCAATGCAACACCATAGAAAGACTAAAAGATTTCATGTGAAAATTGAGAGAAGTTAATCTAATCATCCATCATATCTCCAATAACATTGTCCCTCCAGTTGTCAATAGCCTACACAGCACAGAGGTTATATTGAACTATGTTCTGAGGATGAAGTTGTGTTTTACTTATTTTACCTTTTCATATCTCTAACCAAACCGGGGACATTTTGTGAGTCTGTGAAAACATTATCACCTAATAGCACCGTCTATCCTCAACTTTTGTCTTTGAATTTCCCAGATGAGGTGCGCACAGGAACGTACCGTCAACTATTCCACCCGGAACAGCTGATCTCAGGCAAGGAAGATGCAGCCAACAACTACGCCCGTGGACACTACACCATCGGCAAAGAGACCATTGACTCTGTCCTAGATAGAATCCGCAAACTGGTAAGAAACTTAAGTGTTTTTTTTTTGTTTTTTTTATTCACACTGGCTTTTCCCTTTAACAGGGCTCCATACAGTTGTCAGCTCATATTTGCTGAAAGCAGTCAGAACCTGCACTCAGACTTGCACTCAGACCTCACTCTGCACTAGTTTTCTTTCACCATGTTTAGTCGTTTATACGTTTATTCTCAATCGCTTTTACTCATTTTTTGAAACGGTCTCAACGATCTTTAAACTGTAAGCGCAACTGTTTGATGGGACATCACAACTCCATTGCGTGTCTACCTCACTAGATATTGTGTCAGTAAACCGGCCAATGCCAAGTTGTTTTGTCATCATGTGAGCTCTGTGTTTGCATGACAGCAGAGTGTGACAATTGCAAAATATTGATTTTCTTTTCTTTATGATCATTTATGTCAGTGTAAAGCAATGCTTTGCTTTGTAATACTGTCTTTTCCAATCTTTGTAACTGTTTCTCTGTTGTAGGCTGATCAGTGCACAGGTCTTCAAGGTTTCCTCATCTTCCATTCCTTTGGTGGAGGCACTGGCTCAGGTTTCACCTCTCTGCTCATGGAGAGACTTTCTGTTGACTTTGGCAAAAAGTCGAAGCTGGAATTTGCCGTCTACCCGGCCCCCCAGGTCTCCACCGCAGTGGTGGAACCGTACAACGCCATCCTGACCACCCACACCACGCTGGAGCACTCCGACTGTGCCTTC